TATATATATATATATATATATATATATATATATATATATTTTGATCTCATACTACACCAGGGATGTGCACACAATTAAAAATGTCATAAGGGCCATGGTGGGAAGCTCTTGTACATCCTGTTAAATTCTCAGATGCTCTGCAAATACTTACACAATTTAGAAATGTCCATGAGTATTCATAGTTATATATTAAGCTTGCACAAAGGAAGGCTCAGGAACTGGCCTGCCAACTGGGGCAAATGTATCAATGAAGGAAGGGAGGTTGATTGAGAATTTGGGCTTTCTAGCCGGACTCTGTTCATTTACTCATGATGATAGGATGACTGAAGAAGATGCTTCGCTCTTTTTATCATGAAGAAAACAATATAGTTTTTTTAATGAGCCCTTTGATTATATTTTCTGATACCACCCATTGTATGTTGATTATTTCTCTAGGGTACTCCTGCAGGCTTGTTTCCCAGAGTATGACTCTCATCCTCGTGAATGAAGATTCTTTGGATGTAAGTGGAATCCTACTGTTCTGTTTGATTTAAATACTGTCATTATTCCTTTCCGTCTAAGCTTACCAATAGACAACCAGAAACCAATCCAGACAAATGTGTACAAAAGGGAACCGGAATACATGTGCCTTCAAACCAGGCCCCACTGTTATTGGAGCATACCTATTCCACCAAACAACTTCTTAAGAAGAAAGGATAATATTAAATTAGGTTGGGGTGTAGGGCTGAAATTGCCTTGAAATGGTACTTCTAGTCCTTTACTATTTGGGGAGAACCCTCTCTTTCACCCTCAGTCTACTATGCCACAAAGCTGTCCCATTTGCCAGCAACTTTGAACCATAAAAATGCTTGGGGTAGGAAATGAACTTGAGTAATGGCTAAAAGATCTTAAAGGACCAATGGAGGGAAAGTAACATTATTCTGCTTACATTTTTCCCCCGTATAATTTGACTGTAGAAAGTGTCTTCCTTCTTTCTATTTAAACTTTCAGAATAGAGTAATAAACAAACATTGTAATAAATATGGTTGGGCCAGAAAAATAGGGAAATTTGGCATTCTGTTGTTTAATATACTGAAAATGATAGTCTTTGATCTGAGAACCCAATATCTACTCCTATCAGAGGTGGGTTTCTGCCGGTTCGTCCCGGATCGGGCAAACCTGTAGTGGTGGCAGGAGGCTCTGCCCACCTGCCCGGACACTTCTGCACATGTGCATGAGCGAACCGGTAGTAAAATTAATTGAAACCCACCACTGACTCCTATCGTATCACATAAAAAAGGGGCTTAGTCAATCATCACGCAACCATGATCAATGACAAATTGGGTGGCAAAATTCATTTTATTTATCCTGATTTTATTTATTTGTCAAATTCAGGTACCATTCATCCCACTCTCATAGTTTAGGTTATATCAAGAATGCAAGTGCAGAAGTGGCTCATTTTTTGATAAATGAAACAGGCTACTTTGAGGCAATAAATCCTACCCAATTACTGGAAAATTCCCAAGGACCCACTGGATTTCTTCCAGATCCATAAGGTGTCTGAGACAGACCTTCATAACCAACCCAATCCCCCACCATAGGATCACAGTGTGATGTGCCTCATCTGGATCAGGCAGTGATTTGGCTATGGCAAAGAATCATTCAAGCCATTTCTTCCCTCTTCAGATCACAAGCCAACTGTTTGGTGATGAAAATTAGACCAGAAATTATTTGGAACAAGTCCATGGTTGTCTTGAGGTGTCGTTATACCATCTGCTAAGTGTTGTTGGGGAGGGGGGGAACCCCTCCGATCTCAATAGTTGGGGAAATTCCCAGCAACAAGTTTGATGAATTGAAGAAGGCAACCTAAGCAAGCAACACATGACTAAGATCTTCTTTTCACTATCTTTTCAAAAATAGGTAGTTGCACTCCCAACACAAACATAAGAAAGTGAATAAGAAAGCCAACCTGATTAAGAGATCTGATTAAGTGTGTCTGGGCCAAAGTCACCCTTTAATCTTATTTAATTTTAAACTAGACTTAATCCAAATATTAAACACTGTACCATTTTGATTGTCCCTCTGTTCTTTGACAGTTTCCCCAAACATTGTTCCTATCAGATATATTGGACTTTAACTCATATAATCATAGTCTTTGAACTCACTGGATCTAAATTATAGGTATGAGAATCCAACCCATCTGAAAAATACCAGGTTGAAGATGGTTTACATTCAACACTTTTCTTTCTGAGTAATGGTATCTGGCTGGAAGCTTAAAAAGAACTTTTTGACCTGAGCCCTGAGGGAAAAAATAAGTATCTTGACAAGTTCAGCAGTTTTTAAACACACAATTTTGCATGCAGCTACAAATGGAAATAAAGGATCACTCTGAGTTTGACAACTGAGGGGAAAAAAAAAATCTGTGAAAAGGTCATGTTTGAGCACATAGAAAAATGATCCTCTAAAATTAAAATTAAATATCACGCCCCCCCCCCCGCCCGTCAGTTTCCTGTTTTGAGTTGACATAGACCATGTCCAAGGAATTTTCCAGAAGAGCTGTTCATATTACAGGGAACAGGCACTCAAATTCATTTTTATAAGGCTATAGAGTTTAATTAGGGATGCGGTGGCTCAGTGGCTAAGACGCTGTGCTTGTTGATCAGAAAGGTCAGCAGTTCAGTGATACGAATCCCTAGTGCCGCTTAATGGAGTGAGCTCCCTTTACTTGTCCCAGATTATGCCAACCTAGCAGTTCGAAAGCATGTAAAAATGCAAGAATAAGAACTACCTTTGGTGGGAAGGTAATAGCATTCCATGTGCCTTCGGCATTTAGTCATGCTAGCTACATGACCAATGGAGATGTCTTCAGACAGCGCTGGCTCTTTGGGTTTGAAATGGAAATGAGCACTGTCCCCTAGAGTCAGGAACGACTAACACATATGTGCGAGGGGAGCCCTTACCTTTACCTTTTTAGAGTTTAATTAAACTCTTAAGAAAAGTAAACTGAAACAATATGGAGAAGACAACCATGATGATTGAGGTGACTGGGTACTTGGTCTTGAGAAATATAATAGGACTCTTCAAGAATCCAAAATGGTATCACGGAGCAACCAACCATGATCCAACCATGAGCCAAGGTGGCGCGGTGGTTAAATGCAGCACTGCAGGCTNCAACTCCCAGAATTCTCCAGCTCTGCTGGCTGGAGAATTCTGGGAGTTGAAGTCCACAAGTCTTAAAGTTGCCAAGTTTGGGAACCACTGACATAAACAGTTAAGCATGTTTTACAAACTGTAGCGGATGGGTTAACAAATTACAGCAAGGGTTAACAGCAAGCCACATTAGACTAATGTGAAGATGGGCTTTCTTTGACTTCAATTTGCATATAGAGCAGTGATGGCTCATCTGTTTGTCATCTCATGATCTGAGTCTCATCCTGATGACATGCTATTAAAGACCTAGTTATTGAACTTTGGTTGAGCCCCTGTTGGATTTTTGTTGTTGTTGGTTGGTTGGTTCCAATATTTAGGTTCAAGTCACTCATGGTTTCTTTTTCTTTTCTTTTTCTTTTCTTTTTCTTACTTTTTAAACTGTAATTTGGAGTCTAGAGTCACTCTATGAGTGAGATGGACAGTTGTTAAATTTAATGTATGAATACAATACAGTGCAGTGCAATGCAATACACAATAGGAGATGAACAGCCTCTAGATTACATGAGTAAATAAAGCCATGATTTATTTAATAAAATAAAGCTGGCTCAGTCTGCATAACAAGGTAAACCATAAACCATAGCTTTCCAATCAAAATGCCTTGGTTTACATAACACTTTAAGCCAAACACAAATACAGTAAGCAAATAACTTGCAACCTGTGTCAGCTTGATGGGCAAAGCAAGCCCTGTTATTTTTCCTAGATTCAGCAGTGCCCAGGGAAATGATGAAAAATGGTTTGTTTGATGATGTCACCATATATTTTTTTTTGCCATCCTTATACTTTATTGCAGAGGCACCATCACAGGAGCATCTAACTAGCCACTGTGGAAATCAAGTGGATGTATTACATAGTCCAGGCTTCCTCAATCCAGTGCTCTTCAGCTGCTTTGAGACTGAACAATTTCCAGAGTGCACAACCTTTTAAGTTAGCTGGTGGATGCTAATTTAGGGAAAGCTGTTACCTGATTCAGAACAGCTCTTTTAAAATATATATATATATATATATATATATATATATA